CAAGGCCCAGGCCGAGACTGTGCAGAGGGCTGAGCCTGGGCACCTGGTCAACGCGCAGAGCCCCTCCCCACGCGGGGACGGAAGGGAGGGCCGGCTTCTGAGTGCTCCCCCCCCCTCCTCCTCCTCTGGGGCTGACCCTGGGGGGAGGGTCTTCCAAGGGGGCTTCCTCCCCCAGCCTCTCCGGCCCTGGGCGAAAGCCAAAGCAAGCGGCCCGACCGGACTTCTCTGCTTGGGCCAACCGATGGGGAGGGGGTGATGACCGCTGAGCCCCCTCCCTCCGGGGCCATCCTGCCCCCCCTCCCTGACCCCGTGTCCAGGCAGAGCCCAACTGACTCAGGGACTGTTTACACACAATGATTTCTAGCATTCCCCCCCCCCCCCCCCCCCCCCCCCGTGAGCCGAGGGGGAGGGTCTCAGCCGCTGCTGCCGCCCCCCCCTTCGTCTTCTTCAGCCTGCCAAACGCCAGGCCAGCGGGGAGCGGTCACCACTGCGGGTTCTGCAGACTTTATTGAGACCACAAAGCGGCGGGGAGGGGAGGGGGGGCTCACCGCAGTCCCCCCCCCCCAGGCCCGGCCCCCGCGGCCCCCGCGCCCCCCCCCCCCCCCTCTCAAGCTAGGTGGCGGTAGCTGTGCCCCTCCCCCCCAAAAGCAGGAAGGCGTCCTGTACCCCCGCCCTCCCGCTGGGTCCAAAGGGACGGCAGGCGGGCCCCCCCCCAACTCGCAGGCAGGGCGGCTCCCTCACTGGGCCACCACCATCAGTTCCCGCAGGTAGGACTGGGTCAGCCCGCGGAGCTCCTCCAGCGCATAGTCCTCCGGCATGGGGAGCCGGCTGATGTGGGGGGCCAGCAGGCGCAGCGGGACCCTCTGCACGTCGGGGGTGGCGCCACAGGCCGGGTCTGGAGGGTGCTGCAAGCTCAGCACCACGCGGAGGATGTCTGCGTTGCGCTTGGCCATCTCTGGAGGACGGGGGGGAGGGGGGAGAGAAAAGCGGGGGGGGGCAGCCGGTCAGGCCAGGGCCAGGGAGGGGAGCCCCATGGGCCAGGCGCTCCGAGGCCCCTCCGTTGAAGCAGCAGGGGCCGCGAAGGGGAGCGCTGGGGGCTCAGACCCACGGAGTCCCCGGGTCCTTCCCCAGCCTGGACCAGGCCCCCCCCAAGAGGAGGGAGGGGCGCCCACCCATCCACCTGTCTATCATCCACCCTGTCTGTCTGTCTAGATCTAAGGGTACATCTATATGTAATCTCTCTCTCTCTCTCTCTCTCTCTTTGATTGTCTCCGTCTCCATCCGCCCATCCACCTTACTTGGCCACCCGTCTTTCAACCCTAAGAGACGGACACAATTACACTATAAAACTCAGCCGATTCAAACAGCCCCAAGTGGGGTCTAGGGCAGGGGCCTCCAACCTGGGCCCCTTTAAGGCTGGTGGACTTCAACTCCCAGAATTCTCCAGCCAGTCAGGAATGATAGAGTTGGAAGAGACCAGAAGGGTCATCTAAGTCAGGGGCCTCCAACCGGGGCCCCTTTAAGACTTGTGGACTTCAACCCCCAGAATTCCTCAGCCAGCCAGGAATGATAGAGTTGGAAGGGACCAGAAGGGTCATCTAAGTCAGGGGTCTCCCACCTGGGCCTCTTGAAGACTCGTGGACTTCAACTCCCAGAATTCCTCAGCCGGCAAAGCTGAAGTCCACAAGCCTTAAAGTGGCCCAGGTGGGAGACCCCTGGTCTAGTGTGTGACTATCTAGTCTAGCAGGAAGATCCCCCCCCCTGCCCCCCCAAAACAGGGCCTTCTCTGCCTTAAGCACTCCTTGCTGAGAGTGGGCCTTCGGGGGGTGGAGGGGGCTCCGGAGGCCAAGCGCCCAAGGAGGAACCCCTTCTGGCCATCCAGTAGCGGTGTGTGTGTGTGTGTGTGTGTGTGTGTGTGAAGCCCCATGTCTGTTTTCATTTTATAGACCGGGGGGGGCCGGGGAGAGTGGCGAAATGGGGGCCTCTTGGGGAGCAAACTGGCTCCCTCTAATGCTCCGTGCAAAGCCCCGGGCGGCCTCTTTGGTGGGGAGAAGCTGCCAGGATCCCCTGCTGGCCGAGCCACCTTCCCCCTTGGGCTGGAGGATAGGGGCACCTTCAGCCCCCCTCCAGGCGAGTCCCGCGCCCCATTGCAGTGGCCCTGCCTCCCCGCAGGCGGTGGCCCCGAGTGCCCGGCCCGGCCTTACCCGACTGAGCCAGCCTGTCCTTGGCACCCTGGCACTGGACCAGCTCTATCCTGCCGCAGAGGGAGATCACTTTGGAGTGGAGCTCCTCCAGCTCGTAGCCGGTGACCTCCAGCTGGGGACAGACCAGGGGGGGAGGGGAGAAGGGGGGTCAGTGGCCACTTGGACAGGGTGGGTGGGTCAAGAGCCCCACACCTGGGGGTTGGGGGGGGAACATCCCAGCGGCCCCACCTCACCTGCTGAATCCTGCTGACCATCTCGATGACCCGGAGGTAGTCCAAGAAGACCAGCCCGGCCGTGTCCCAGCCCTGGATGAGGCTGCAGCGCTCGGGGCTGGCCAGGTCTTCCAAGAACCCCCTCAGGTAGGTGTAGTTCTCATTGATGATGGCGTCTGTGAGGGAGGGGAGGGAGGAGGAGAGTGGGCAGGGGTCTGCCTGCCCCGCCTCTCCTCTTAGCGGGGGCTTCAGCCCCATGGAGGGCAGCCAGGGAGGGAGGGGGGGGAGAGCTCACCCGAAGCCAAGTGCCTGACCACCAGCTGGTGGCACCGGTTCCAGTGGCCGGCCTTGAAGAGGTAGAGGGCCTCCCGGGCCTTGTCGCCCTCCCTGTGGGCCCAGAGGGCCTTCGCCTCGTAGATCCACTCCGGGGGGACGCACAGCTTCCGCGTCAGGAAGGCCTCCTTGTCCCCGGACTCCGGCGACTCCAGCAGCTTGCAGTGGCGGTTCAGCAGCTCCCGCACGGCTCTTTCCCGCGTTCTGGGGAGGGGAGGGGAGGGGAGGGTGAGGGTGAGGGACAGCCGAGGGGCTCCAGGGCTCCGCATAAGGGCAGCTCAGGGTTGGAAGGAGGGGGGCCCCTCTGAGCCGGGGGGGGGTGTTTCCTCGCAGGTTCATGACCCAAACGAGGCCACGTCATCCGTGGCAGTTCCTTGCTTGGGAGGGGGGTTACGTGGCTGGTGGTCTGAGGTTCCATCTTCCCAGGCCAAGCCCCCAAATGCTGGAAGCCTGGCCCCCTCGACAGGCCAGCCATCGACAGACCCGCAGAGACAAACCACGTCTCCACCCTTCGCGAGAGAGACCCTCAAGGGAGCAGGAAGGCCCCCAGCCTCCCTCCTCCAGCGGTCAAGCGCCCAGGTGAGCAGGGATCAACGCCAGGGCCAACCTCAGACCCACCGCCGAGTAAAGGGGCACCCAGGCCACAGGCGGCGTGCAGAGCCCGCTCCGTGGGCACATGGGCCCTTGCCAGCTGCTCTCCTGATTTTAGGCGCACCCCGGCCAGCTGATCTTCACGGGCGCCGGAGCACCGGGAAACAGCCCGGAAAGTGGCCAAAAAACCAGACCGTTTCCTGGGCCGTTTTCAGGCAGTTTGGGGGCCAAAAAGAGCCTTTTTTCTTACGCCCGTTTTTCTACCTTAATGACTGTTGCAGCATCGACCTGGGGTCATGCCATCAAAACCCAGGGGCCCATAACCATTCGTGTTTATGACGGTCGCAGCGTCCATGGGGTCAAAGTGACCCCCTTCTGCGACCGTCCGGCACGTCGAGTCAAGGGGGAGGTCAGATTCGCTTAAAGACTCTTCTTGCGGGAAAGGTCGTAAAACGAGCCAAGGTTCACTGAACCACCTCAGCAACGGAAGCTCTGGGCTCAACTGTGGCTGCTGCCGCGGCCTTCCTGCCGCGTCCCTCTGCAGGCGCTGGGACCACTCACCGAGCGTTGGGGGTGTGCAGGTGGACGAAGACGGCCCACTCCCACAGCCCCTCCCTCTCCAGCTGGGCTGCGTAGCTCCCGTTCAGCACCCCCTGGCACTGCTCCGACAGGTGGGTGTAGTTCAGGGCCCGGAGCGCTTCCCACAGGTGCCAGCTGAGGCGGTGGTCCAAGGGGTCTGCCGTGACGCTCCGGGGGTCCAGCAGCTGGTGCAAGTCGTAGCACCTGCAAGGGAAGCCCAGGTCAACCCTGCTGGCTGGGCCGGGTCCCTCCAAGGAGGGCACCCACCACACCTGCGCTGCCCTCGGAGCTGGCTGGTCTGCTTGCTGGGCGTTTCGCGGCCATCCCAGGCAACACCCTCAGGGACCGGAGGGCTCGGCTGGCGCCAATGACGAACGAGGTTGCCTCCTTTGGCCGATGGAGCATCGGCAAGGAAACCGCCCAGCCCGGAGGGCGCCAGGGGGTCCTCCAAGACAGGGAGCCCCCGGCAGGAAAAGAGCGAGAGAGTCACCGGGCTCTTCAGCCAAGGAGCCGGGTGAGAATTAAGGAGAGCTGGATTTGGAATGGGAGCCACTTGGGACGTAGCTCTTAAAGCCAGGCTGGGAATGGCGGAGCGGCTTTGTTCTTGCTTTTAGGGCAGGGCAGCTATGGCCCCTTTATGACGGGGGGACTTCCTGAGCCAGCCCCCCCCGTGGGATTCTGGGAGTTGGGGTCCACTGGTCGTAAAGCGGCCACAGCTGCCCAGCCCTGCCTCAGGGTGGCCTTGGGCCTTGGCCCTTCCTCTCAGCAGCAGCAGGGACGGGTCCAGGGGGTGACCAGAAATAAGAAAAAGGTAAAATACAATTTTTGAATTTAAATAGGACCGGGGCCCCACAGGAAATCAAGGCGGCCAAAGGAGAAGGAAGGGAGGGAAAAAAGAGACCCGCGTATTCCTTTCTCTGCCCCAGTTTAACCTGCAAGAATCCATCCGGGGGAGGTGGGAATTCTGGGAGCCGCGGCCCCAGGCCTCTGGGTGGGGGTGGGGGGAGCGAGTGGGGGAGCCCCCAGCGTTCCTGGCTGTGGTCCACCCAAGGCCTGGGGGGGGTGGGGCAGGGGGGGGGAGAAGGCAAAAGGAGAAGGTACCTGTCGCTGTACAATTTCAGCAGGTGGAAACACACGTCGCGCAGGGGCCGCTGGGCGTTGTCGTTCTCCGCCACGTAGCCGGAGTCCTCTAGGTAGGGAGGCAGCGGAGGGCAGGCGTATCCCTCTCCCTCTGGGGTGGCCTGGGGAACACGGAGGCCAGAGGGGTGTGTGTGTGTTTCGATCAAGCTCCCCTCCCCCCCTCCAGAGCTCCAGCCAGGCCTTCCCCAGTTATAGAGGAGCCCCCTCCTCCTCCTCTTCCTCCTCCTCCTTTCTCCCACGTCCCCCAACTAAGCTACACGGGGATCCTCCACTCTGGCCAACAAACCTTCCCCTCCGTCTCTTGGAAAATCGATATAAGGTTTTATATTCAAAATCTACATAAAATTGCTTTCCCCTCCCTCTATTCTCTCTCTCTCTCCCTCACAGTTCAAAGCCACCCATCCATTTCACCCTCACAGCCTGGATGGTGTGCAGTACAATTAACGTGAATCCTTGAACTACGCAGGGCAAGCTGGGTGGAAGGGGCTGGGTTCCCATCGTCCCCAACCAGTGGCTAAGGGCCATGGGAACAGGGGGCCACCAAGAGAAGCAGAGAGGCCCAACGACCCTCCTGGCCCTGACGAACGCTCTCTTCCCCGGGCAGAGCCCCCATCCAGGCGGGGCTCTGCGCCCCGGGCCACCCCCCCAGGGCCGCCTACCTGGAACGCGGCTTCGTACACGCTGAGGGCCTTCGAAAGGGGGGCTGTGGAAGGCAGCAGGTACCACAGGTGGACCCCCAGGGAGCGCTTCCAGTCCAGTTGGGAACACACGTTGATGGTCCTCTTCTCGGACAACTGCCACACCTGCGGCGGGGAGACCAAGGGCTGAAAAAAGGGGGCCCACAGAGGCCACAGCGGCCGGGGCAGAAAGCAAGCGCCACTCACACCACTCACCGGCTTGCCAGCCAGGAGGCAGAAAATGCGCAGCCGCTCGTCCTGGATGAAGCCGTCCGCTTGGAGCTGGTGCCAGTCGGCCAACTGCAGGGCCAGCAGCTCCCGGACCTCCTGGCTCCCCACCAGCTGGGAGAGGAGCAGAGACAGGCGGAGGTCCCCTGCAACGGAAGAGCTCGGGCTATGAGGCATGCAACACCCCCACCCAGGCCGGCGGAAGGAGCTCGCTGCAGACCCCGCCCCAGGGCCCGGGACCCTCTGGACTGCCTCGGCCCCCTGGGGTGAGGCCCACCCCTGCCCCGTTGGCCACCCAACCCACAGGGGCCCTAACACCTGGGGGGGGGCCTGCCCTGCGTTGGAAGTGGTTGGTGGAACAGGAAGGAGACCCCCGTCCCCCCTCCACCTGCAGCGTTCTGGGCTTTTAAAACTGACTTAATCTCCATTCGTTCTAAGGCTCCTGCCAGATGTTCAGACCGGGCGTGGCCTTTCGCCTGCCCGTCAAGGCCTTCCCCCAGGGGTCCGAGACAGGCAGAGGAGGGGGTCAGGGGGGCTTAGAAGAAAAGAAAGCCAGCTGTGCCAAGCCAGGCTGCCTTTTGCCCTGGGCCTTGGCCTCCTTCCGTCTCCAGAGACCAGGGTGCCACGCTCTGGAAGGAGGCCCTCCAACAGCCTCCGGAAGGGCCAACTCGAGGGAGGCCACCCCTTCCACACGGAGCACAGCGAGCCCTTCGCTGGGCGACTATTTCCGCACCCCCTACACGCACCCCGACCCCGGGGGGAGGGCAGAGGGGCCGGGCCTGGGCTCTTACCAGACTGCTGGGCCAGGTGGCAGGCGTTGCTGATCTGCTTCCCGGTCAGGTAGCTGAAGACGGCCTCGGCGGGAGCGTCGTTCTGCCGGAGCGCCACCTCCTCCTGGATGCGATGGGCCGCCGTCCGGGAGAGCCAGCGGGAGAAGGCCCTCCGGCGCTCCAGCAGCAGCCCGTACTCGCTGGGCTCCTCCAGGCGGCCCTCCAGCTCCTTCAGGCGGCCCCAGAGCGCCTCGCACAGGCGCCACACCAGGCCCCAGGTCCTCACCACGGCTGCGGGGAGGGAGCGGCCAGAGGCGTCAGTCAGCCTGGCCACCCCTGGCTGGACGCTCCCTGCCCTCCAGTCACAACCCTTCCTTGAGTGACCGCTCCAAGTTACGGCGGCACTGGAAAAAGGCCCCCTTTCTCACCCCCCACAACCGTTGCCAGCATCCCCACTGGTCCCCTGATCCAAATTTTTGCCAGCCGGTTCATACTTATGACGGTCGCAGGGTCCAAGTGACCCCCTTTGGTGACCGCTGGCTGACAAGGAAAAGCCAGGTTCCCTTTAGAAACAGCTAACAGCCGCAGTGAGTCTCTTAACGACTGCGGCAAGGAAGGTTGTAAAACGGGGCAACGCTCACTGATCAACTGCCTTGCTTAGCAACGGAAAATCTGGGCTCAACCGTGGCTGTAAGTCGAGGACTGCCCCGGATAGCCTTCTGCTCCCTCCTGGGAGCCGCATTCGGCAGCCCAACGGAGAGTTAAATCCTGCTTTCCTCCCACCCCTCTGGGGCCCCGTTGGCTTTTTCGAGGTTCTTGGAGGCCCCCAAAATAAGTACTGGCTGAAAGCAGACAACAGCTACCCATCTGGGCCGGGGCCCCCCAAAACCTGGCCCCTTTAAGACTGGTGGACTTCAACTCCCAGAATTCCTCAGCCAGCCAGGAATGATAGAGTTGGAAGAGACCAGAAGGGACATCTAAGTCAGGCGTCTCCAACCTGGGCCACTTGAAGACTTGTGGACTTCAACTCCCAGAATTCCCCAGCCAGCCAGGAAT